AAACAAACTAAAGTAAAATTAATTGATCGTTCATAAAATGATAAATATAACTTCTTGTTTCTTATCAAGCTTTGATCGATATAGCCTAATTATAATACCTATCTAAATGATGTATTGTTAGACAGAAAACTAATAAGAGGCATGTTTTCATTATTGTTCCACTTAAACATTAACTACTTTATAAGGAACTTTACTAGCTACTTCAAAATTATACACTCCTAATATTCTTATTAAAAAATACTACTGATTACAAATGCACGCACAATGAAGTATGACTTACCTTCTTAATTTACGAGAATTTTACAATAATTTTGTAATGAATTATCAATTAAGGTTTAAAACAATCATTTATATAATTGTCCTGTGTCAGAATCGAAATTTATTCATGAAATGAATTTATATATTATTTACATATATTTAGATAGACATTAATCCAATTTTAAACTTCGATTTTCTTATTGAGAGTCAATATTTTTTAGTATCTTTATAATTACCTATTTAGTTCATTCCCTTGAAATGATTTTTGTATAGGGGAAAGTCACTTGTATTATCTCGATAACTGATAACACGAGCGATTCAATTTTTACTTTAAATCTTAGGTGTCTGCCACTGGAAGACTTTCCGCTAAAAATTGAATCGCTCGCGTTATTAGTTATTGTGATAATTGACCGGCGTTAGGTGCCGTCTGGCGTTAAGGGACTTGCCCCTATTGGAAATTTATTACCTCACAGTTTAGGTACTTACCTACATTTTATACAATGACATCTTTATTAACAATGTACATAATAATATTATATGTATTGTATCTTCTCATAATAACAGTTTCTAATTTAAGAATCAATGAAAGGTAAATGGAAAAGTGAGGTAGTCCATCTAGAGCACCTGTGCGAAGTGTTATCTAAATGCACAGAACTACGTGCTAATTGATAATTGAAAATGGTAATGAAAATTGGGAAGCATTCAGATTACTTTGAGCTCGGGGTAATATATTATAAGTCATCGTTAGATTAAGATTATAATCATAAGCATACAGTCATTATAGGTTTCAAGTACGTATTTCTAGATGTAGACATATGTGTCTCAGGGTAAGGCGTAGATAAGTTCTAAATACCTATTAGAATATTAGTGATCAATGCCCGCAAAGCTCGCATAATGCATGATAAATGTTTTCAGGCCTATGCAATGGTATCTACTTATTTATGCTGAGCACAGCGATTGTGGGAACTATTGCGAATTTTATAATACACCCAATGCTATGCTAAATATTATACTGAGCAAGTTTTATGAGATGGAACTCGCGTGAACGGTGTTCAAAAGTTGCTAAAAAAAAAAATTAAAAAAATGAGATATCTCAGCTTGCTTTATGTAAATGGTGCGTATAGTTTGTACAACTTGACTGGGCCGACACTACCACCCTTCTCACAGAATACCAACATAAATTAGTGACGTAATGTTGCTGTATTTCGTCTTGTTAGTGCTTTTTGGGAAGATAGGCGTCCCTGATTCTATTATGTTTTCGGCTTACTCACGTAAATGTCGTCGCGAAATGCTGCTCATGAATATGAGCCTCTAGCATGGCTTGAAACTAGTCGAGTTCCTCGTCGAATTGTTACGTGACTAAGCCGAAAGCATAATAATTTATTTAGTATGTCTCACAAATATAGTTCCCTGATGTTGTTATTAGATGGTTACATGATAATTCTGTACACATACCTAAGCGTACTTTTACCCCATTGATCAGTTGGCCCATAAGATGTTGTGCTAATAGTAGAAAACGTATAAAACATTTGTTGTGCACTATGTGACCTATGTAAATACTGAATAATTGTTTTTTTTTTGTTTTCAGAATGCGGGCATAATTATAATGTAACTTTTAAGCTTCTTATATTCTGGATATGTAATAATGTAGTTTAAAATGTTACAATTATTATAAATGTACTGTATAAACACAAGTTTATTCTATGTAGACATTAAAAAGTATAAAAGTGTAAAAAAAAATAAAAAAAGAAAATATACAAAAAAAATTGTCATAGTAGGTACAAGTAGGTTCGTAGGTCATCTTAGATTTCGTAAGAAGTGCCGAACTCGGTTTTTATAAATGTTAATTATTCATAACTGTAACTGTAAGACATAGATGTAGGTATAAACAAAAAAAAAATAGTTCTTCAAAAACGTTAACCCGAATTTCTTCCGACTGCACGGTCAAAAGACAAAATTGAGTAGGTACAATTAGAAAAAAAAATAGTAAACATAATTTTTCTCATATAATACCTAATTATATTAGGGCTAAGTAGTGCCTAACTACTTTTCGAACATTAATTATTTACTATAAGTCGTAGGTAGGTAGATGTCAACAAACATAATGTATACTGACATTTTTCTGTATTTGTACCTAAATGTAATTGACCCTGAATTAATCCAAAAAGGATTTTCTTATTTATATTCATATATTGTGTACGTATGTACATAATATTTTATGTACTTAAGTGTCTAATATTGTATTACGTAGACGTACATGTTTTATGTATCGACATATTTAAACTACTTCCAATATATTAGGGCTTTGTGGTGCCAAACTACTTACCAATATAAATCATTCACTTTATTTTAAACCTTATTATAAGTCAAATACAGCGTGAGTTTTAAATGACATGTTTCCCGAGGTCTCAGTTGGACTATTGGAATACTTTTTGAGTAATGTTAAAACTTTTGGCATTATGATAAAACATAATAATATCTTATATAAGTTTTAGGCCCTGAACCCACGAAGGCCGCGGCGTTTTTTAACCGCATTACTTTACATTAGTTGCGGGACTAAACGGCAAGTGCGGCCGCTTGTATTCGGTATCCTGTGAGGTACTTAGATCTATTGTTCTATCAAACCGGTAAGCTGCTGGGGGAAGTCATCCATGTTAAAATTCACGCTGTACAAAATAACGAATAAGATCTCTGTGAGCATTATTTAACCCGAATTTAATGTTCGCTTATTGCTACTGTGACGTTTATGGCCAATACTTTCCTATCATCGTGTATCGTTTCGATATTTGGTATTCAAATTAAATGAAGTTGAAAAACCAGCAATTGTTTTACTTACCTACCCTATTAGTAATCACCCTTTTAACACCGTCTCCCGATACAGTAAATCATTACATGAACCCACGATCATATTTAGTTTACATAGTTTTACACTAAATATACACAATACATAAAAATGCAAATACCAAACACTGATACACTTTTGATTAATATAATTATTAATTACCTATACTAAAAATGATTTTTCTCATTTTGGCATCCAGTTAGACACACACACGCACCCAGTTAGACACACACACGCACCATTAGACACACACACATCACATTTTATGTTTAAAGTAATCGAAACGAGACCGCGTTCGACGTTCTGATTGGTTGGTACATTCGAGCCGGCCAATCACAGCGCCGAACGCGGTCTGACTTAGATAACTTTAACCGTAAAACAAATTGGTACTAAAGCCTCAGATACACACACACGCTACAACTAAACCACAAAACAACTTCATATAGCGTCATCATGACTGCATGATGACGCTATGTCTCTAGACTGATTTTTACGTATATCGCAGGGAATATTTATTGTAATTTGTACTTATATTTATTTATAGTAAACAATTACAAATGAATATATGTAGGTACTTTAAATATCGACAGCAATGCCACAACCTTGCTTATAGTCTGAAACTTACTTGATTGTTACCTGTAAACATCAAAAATCATCAATATTCTCTAAAACATACGTAAAAATCAGACCTGAACATGAATACAGTTTCATTTACCTGTAGCATCTGGTACCTGGGAATTGGCTGCCGGTGTAAGCTAGCGGGTAGGTATGTCGCGGAGAACCTAACGGGTAACCGGGGCTCCGGCTCGACGTGCAGGAGAAGGAACGGGGTGGTTTTTAGTCAGTAAGAGTCTGGCACTCCCTTCCGCCTCACCCAGGCGGGAGCAGTCATTCGATGATTTTCCCCCCTTAAAAAAAAAAAAGCGGCTAGGTATACGTCTATACGTGCACTATAGGTAGGTACACCATAATTCTAACCTATCATAATTAATTAAGGTCTCGGGACCGTTAGGCTAATCTGTAACATTTAATTCAAAAGTTCGAAATGAACTCGATCGCAGTCCATCATGTCATTGGTTGTGAAAATTACCTCAACCAATGACAGGCGAGAATGCGATCGAGCTCACTTCGAAAATTCGAACTGACCGTTACAGTATAGCCTAGCTGTGGGTCTATTAGTAGGATAGGATGACTAGATGTATGCAGGTGATGGTAGCCAAAGATGTATGTGAGGATGGCATGTAGGCAACGTTCTGTAGTTTCTGCCTTTTCAAGGGACGAGAACGTACATAATAATATTCGTTATGTTGTCATAGTTTTTGGAGAAAATGACTCCCTGAAAAGGATGACGCAAGCACCAGGAGTGCTGCATCGATATTGTGAGAGAATTCTCACATAGTCAGCACGAGCGCTTCCCTGGTGATGTTGCAATCAAGTTACTCTGTGATAGCAGCACAAATTGGATACTTACCAACTACTCAAATTCAATACTTTTTTGACGTCAGGTTTTTATAGCGTCAAACAGCATACTTATTAGTTAAAAAATTGTTGAATACTAAAATTAAATTGGGTATAGAAACAATTAATGAAAGTGTGATTATATTTTAATATTTTATTGTATTAACCAGTTGCAATAATTTATTTTTGAATAAGGAAAGTACCCATTTCTAGGCAGCCCATACACTTCGTTGTTACTGATCTGACAGTATCTTTGTAAATTGTTAAAGTCCAACAAGAACCTTTTGTATGACACACACCGTTTGGTGTTTTTTAACCGACTTCCAAAACAGGGAAGAGGTTCTCAATTGGACTATTGTTGTTTTTCGAACTTTATTCTTGAAATAGGTAGTAGTAGGTACTTATAATTAGGTTTGTAAGAAAAAATCCTAAGAAGGTACTCATGATATTAATACTACAGACAGGTTTGGCTGATGGGTCTGATGACACTTTCATCGTGTGCAATACTGGCAAAAGGAAACTTAAGAAAGAGGAATATATTAGTGAACTATGTAAGTATGATAAAATCTCTCATTGATCTGTATTATAATATTATTAGTATTCTAACTAAATACACTGGAGTAGTGGTCATCTTCATCACCAATAACTTGAAAGTGCCGACTGCTGAGCAACGCTCACACGGAGAAGGTTTGAGCATTCGCTTGCTCAAGACGGGTTGGCGATTACAAACTTATAATTAGATATTAGAACCCCAGGTTTACTCACGGTGTTTTCCATCACCATTATTATGTCGCTAGTGTTTAAATAATAACATAACATCGCACCTCTTATAGGTAGGCTGAGGTGCACGGCTCTTAATGCTACTGTACAATGTTTCTACTTTTCACTATTTATGTTATGTGTCCCATGTAATAGGGTATGAGCCTATTACCATATACCGGGCACATTTCCGGAATCTGTGCTATCACTGAGAATTTTAACCAAGTAATGCTTTGCCCGACCCGAGAAACGAATCGCCCGGCAGTCGCACTTGCCAAGGCTTCTTGCACTCGGCCAACGAGGTAGTCTAAATAATCTTAGAAAGGACATATACCTAACTCAAAAAGAAATATATTTGTGCTAACCAACGAAACCGCATCCTCATGCATGAGAAGCAAACATCTTAAGCCTCCGGACCACCACGACTGACTGCGTGGCGGTGTAATGGTATATTTCATGAATTGTCATCATCAACAGCCTATAAATGCCCACTGCTGAGCAAAGCCTCTTCTCACACAGAGAAGGTTAGAGCATTAATCACCACGCTTGCTCAATGCGGGTTGGCGATTTCAAACTTATAATTAGAAATTATAAGTCCAGGTTTCCTCACGATGTTTTTCCTTCACCGTTTGTCAGTGGTGTCTAAATAATCTTAGAAAGTACATATAACTCTGAAAAATCATGAATTGTATTATAGAAATATTGAAATATTGAATATTGATTAACAAATCTATTTAGACAGTTAGTAAAATAATGAAAAATGATAGACACATCTTTTTGGTTATTTCCTATAAGAACAATACGTTTTTAATTGTAACTTATGTTCACTCGCTATGTAATTGTAAATTTACGTTAAAACAATATTTCAATATATCTATCGTTGAAAATACGTGTCCAATGTATAAAATTTAATCAACAAACCTGTTATGGAAATAATTAATCCAAACTCACTAACAGGCCAATGTCGTACAATCCATTTTAACCTATCGCATAAGGAAGCCAAATAATCCTCATGAAATACTGAAAATAAAATTATACATACTTAAAACGATTGAAATTAGTAACCTGTCTCAATACAAAGTCTTTTTATTGATGTCGGCTTTTGACAAAGGTTACATATTTTTTTTAATTAAAATAAGTTTATTTATTTTAATTCGGGTAACCAACAGCTATAGTACAAGAATAAAACTTCAGGATATGCTAATACAAAGCCCATTATAGGTCTCCACGGCTAGCTACTGTATATCTGTACAGAGGTTTTGCGAATGCAGTGCACATAAAACATGGATATTCATTAAAAAAAAATAAGGTTTAGTCGCCTACGCACCCTGGAACTGCTTGTGAAAAATGGATCATAGTTCTATGGACGACTACTTCGATCATTATAGCCGTGAGATCTAATGGACAAATCATTCAATTGGTAATAATATATTGTAGGTTATATTAATTATGTAGAATGGTCATGTTGATACCTACTTTTGACACCTATTTGACACTCATAGTTTGATAGCAAGTTTGTTGGAACAACGTTCACACGACGATACACATTGCGCATTCACGTTAGGTTCGGACACACATGATTTCAAAAGCATTTAGCATCTCCTACAAATATACCGTATTCAATTTATTATTGTTCAACAGATCGATACAAGTCAAAATGCACACATTGCAAAAAAATAGTTCACAAAGTTCGACACCTATTAGATGAATTTAAAATTATAAATGAAAATGAAATTATTGGCATTTGCAAGAGGTGCCGACAATCATGCAAAATTAAATGTCCTAGATGTGAGTACATTAAAAATAAGTTTGTTGACACCTATAAAAGACATCGCAAAGAAAGACAAGAGCGTTTTAAAGATTGGCTTTGCAAAGTAAATGAGTTACTACAATCTTTAATTGATGGAGAGGGAATTTGTCACTGTGGAATGTATAAAGATGCCGAATTGGAAAGACTTCTACAAGATCTAAAAGAACCACTGGATGTACGACAGCCAGACATAGATTTCTTTCCAAATGTGGATGATGAGCTTTTGTCTTTGCAAGATTTGAAAGACAGTAAGATATTACTTGAAGAATTACTTTCTAAAATGAAACCGGAAGCCGAAGAACATGCCGCGCATTTATCTGTATCTAAAGGAATTTGTATTTGTAAAGACTTAAAAGAAAAACACCTCGAAGAATTCATACCTGGTTTTGTGGCAAAACCACTTGAAGAATCTCAAGCTACAATACTAACCGGGGAACATTTGAAATATCTTGATACATCGCCAAGTCTAGAAGAATGTAAACATTTTGTAAAAAGATTAATTATATTAAGCCAAAATCTACCACGAGGAATACATTTAAATAAAGAATTCATACTAGATCTTATTGATACTATTGACATTGGTACTAAACAGGGATTATCTGTCAATATTGTTAACAAACTGATAGACCAATTAAAACAGTTAGATAAATATCTTGACTATGACATGTCTCCAGAATTAGATAAAAATGTAATTATAACATTGATAGGAGATTTAAATGATCTACTAACAATAGGATCTTCCAAAACTGTAAATAAAGAATTATTAAAATTATTAATACAGCTAACGAATTTACTTACAACTGAACTAAAAAAGCAGCACTCATCTCATTTACTGCTTAAGGATGAAAGCAAATACAAAAAGCATGGCAAGGAAATTGACGAAACACTTCACGTGTTATATCCAACTCATAGAGAAAAGAGTGGAACTGGTTACAAAAAGCACGGACCTTTTGAAACTCCAACACCAGATGTAGGACCACTAGGGGTATCACCTGGAAAACCAAAAGGTAAGATCAAAGATAAAGAGCTGAAAATGCTTAAAAGTGATGGTATAGAACAACGGAGACCTAAGTCTCACGATAAAAAATTACGGCGTGATGGAAGCCTACCACTAGAAATTAAAGGTAAATCTTCAAAAATTCCTGTAATGAGAAGTGCTCCAAGCAGAGTTGAATCTACACTTAATAAATATATACTACCTCCAATATTTGGTAAAGAAGAAAAAAGCTCTACTCAAACAGAAGTTGGAAAAGAAACTGAAATTATTGCAAAAAGTAGAACTAAGAAATCGTTATCTAAAATATCTAAAATTACATTTAAGAAGTCATTATCTATATATCCCAAGAAAATTAAAACTTATGGTGGTGGTGAAGGTTTGATGAAAAGATTATCAAAGGCATCGATTCTATCAAAACGTGGTTTAGCAAAAAAATACGTTCCACCAAAAGACGCAACTAAAACTAAACTGGTAGGAAAGAAAGAGAACTTGTTAACATTAAGTATTAACGAAATCGCAACATTACCTCACACTGTCAGGTCATTCGCCGATACAATAAGTTCACTCATTCAGGTACTGGGAAATATTAATAGAGCTTTAGCTGTTGGTGGTTTAAATAAGAGACTTTTACAACAGTTCGCTATGGACGTGCGTGACATATTAGGTGAGACACCAACTACTTTGTTGCACAATATAATTAAACAATTATTACAACTAAGTAAACCTGTTTTGGATGGGGTACCTGACGATACTACCCTAAAATTAGTGCAAGAATTGATTAGTCATGCCACCAAAGCTCTGTGTCACAAACTTTCTGCAAATAAAAATAAAGCAATGGTAAATGAGTTACTTAGTAATCTTAATAACGTGCTAATGTCTGTTTCAAAAGAATGGCAATCTAAACATAAAAGAGACACTCAAAAAAGTAGGGATTTACGCTATTTAAGTAAAGCTATTTCTAAAAGAATACAAGATTTAAGTAACCGACAACTAGTATCGAGTCAATCGAGTTTATATAGGGAAACGAAATCTAAGCAAAGTTTAGGAAACCACTTGAGAATACTGCAAGAAAAACTAGCAAAAGGTAAAACTATTTATAGTCTTGAAACAGCAGCTGCTTTGAAAAAAATAAAAAAAAAGAATCAGGAGGAGAAACTGAATCATTTGGAGATTAGATCAAGATCAGGAATTTCAACGACGTCTACACAACAACTTAAAAAAGCAAAGAAACTTTCAGAAGCCATACTTGGAAAAATTTTACAGTGTGAGGCCAATGAGAAGATAGAAAGAAAGAAAAAGGAACGAGAGGCTAAAGAATTGGAAAGCCAAGCGACTTTAACAAGAATTTCTTCTCGAGCGTTCAACTTGCCCGCGATAGAAGCAATAATAGCGAGCCCACCTAGTAGCAGTACCTCGAGTACTTCAAGTGTCATTGAAACATGTCTTGAACGAAAACCAAAAATACCAAAAGTTATGATTCGAGGTGAAAGAATTGTACCATACGATGCTGAATATATAGAACATTTACGAAAAGGCAAACCTCCTATACTTAAAACACAACGCAAGAGAGACCTGCCTGAAAGCGATCGGGTTGCAAAGGAAACTGATTCTTCTATAAATTTAGACGTAAGTAAACAGTTTTTTCATAATTTATCTGCAAAACCAAAACTATGTGCTAAATTGTTATCGGCCCTAGTAAATAAAAAAATAGTAGATTTTATTGTAGTAAAAAGATAAGATGAACTAACAAATCATCATCAACAATCTATAAGTAGGTAACTACCATGTTTGTATTTACTTTGTTATTAAGCTTCGTATCAACTACGCGATATTTTACGCACGCAAAAAGTTTTACTTTATTTCCGACAATCATTGAATGTAGGATTGTGCTCAGTAACGTAAATAAGTTTAAAGGTATTCCAGAGTAGAATCTAATAAGGGGCCACTGCTGACCAAAGGCCTCTACTCGCACGGAGAAGGTTTGAGCATTAATCACCGCGCTTGTTCAATGCGGTTTGGCGATTTCAAACTTATAAATTATAAGCCTCACGATGTTTTCCTTCACCGTTTGCAACTACTGTAATAGCAGTCATCATTATAATTATGTAAAGGAATATTGTTTTATGGTTTCAGGAAATATCAGGAGATGGGATACTCAAATATAGGTTATCTAATAGACAGTTTATAGAAAAAGGCTGGACAATATTGCCGACGAAAAAGGTTATGCGAAGGGTTTGTACAGCTATTTAAATTTTATTGATATTACGTGTGGAGGCACATGAAGTCTTTTATGCAACGCCTATATATATAATTAATATTGACTACTGACTGCCTCGTTGGCCGAGTGGTCGCAAGTGCGACTGCCGGGTCTCGGGTTCGATTACCGGGTCAGGCAAAGTGTAACTGGGTTTTTAAATAAAATCTTAGTAGTAGCACGAAGTCTGGAATTGTGCCCGGTATATGGCAATAGGATCACCTCCTATTACATTGAACTCGTAACATAAATAGTGTAAAGTGGGTGTTACATTGTACAGTGGCATTAAGTGCCGTAATGTGCACCTCTGCCTACCCCTTCGGAGATAGAAAGGTAGTAGAATGACTAATTTACCATCTTTTTCAAATATTATGCAGATGAATATATACAGAATGATACCATCTCAACCACATCGTGACTGGTTTAGACTTCATAGAAATAGGCAACTGTATTATGACACTGGAGAAATATTGGCTTCTGTCGACTCTGACGGCCGTGGCTTATGGTTTTACAGAAGTGGACCCGTTGCGTTAGAGTATTATGATGCTAGAGGTACGATTGACCTATATGTCATTTGACACAGTACAGAAAATAATGTTCTCTGATAAAATGGAATAAAATAGAATCTCACATAAATTCGAAACCTCTATTGGGGTAGACGACAAATTTTTATTTTAATGTCCTTCTCGTAGATTATTTCAAAACATTAGACACGTATTTTTTTATTTTCTTACGATTACAAATACTTTCGACGATATATGAATTGAAGTATGGCATGACGTAATTTTTGTGTACGTTTAAAAATGACGTAACTAATTCTCACTCCTAAACTTTGATTCGTTTTATCTAAGTTTTATTTTTTATACGACTAAATTGAAAAATACGTTTGTAATATTTTTTCATGTCCTATCTGACAGACTGATTCGACCCCGTCATCATCTCTATTCGCCTACCTAAAGTCAAAGTCAAAAACGTATCGACGTCCTATAGACGACGCCGATGCGCCCACCTATTCTGGAGATTAAAAAATTGTTACTAACGGTTTTTATTTAGAACAGGTATTGTCCGATAGTGGAATGGTGATTGTAACAAATATATATTTCCCAGAATCCAACGTTGGGCAGAGGTACGTGGTTTATAGTTCTGGAGACGAAGTGGACCATGGTAGTGTTAAACCTCGGACTATTATAGCGTTATTTGATGTACAAGGAAATGGGGTAGTCTACGACCATAATGGAAATGTCAGGTACGTTTTATATGTAGACAGCCTGCTTTTACAACTGGCTTACTCATTAACAAATGACCCATATAACAGATTTTTTACGATGGCGCCATTTTCGTTGTACGTTGGTACAATCAGTTGTATTTGTATCATGTTACCGAAGAATTAGTTTTGTTCTAAAACATTATAGGACGGCTAAGCTGAAAACTGTTGGTATCTCTTTTCAACTGTTCAGCACCAGCACCGAAACGTATTGTTAATCTTGCTGAAAATGCGTAATTTTCAGGACGCTTTCAAATAACGGGGCGTGGCTTTCATGTGATTGGTTGGCACGGTAACCTAGTAGCCTGAAATTTAAAGCGCTTTCCGTATCTACAGGTGGTTTCTAAGTAAACGACCTTATGCACTATATAACAAAGGAGACGCACGCACCCTAAATTTTGAGCCTCCTTTATATCTACTTTATATTTTGTTCTTAAAATTACGGACAGTGTAGGTAATTAAATCACCTTGCATTTCATTGTTTTTTTTCAACAGACTGAAATACAATCAATCTGAAGGTGTTCTGGTGGATTCTACGTTAGGGTCGCCATGCAAATGGAAGTGGCACACGTTAAACGACCCCCCAGTCTTGCAGCACGTGATCTTAAACCCACAACTTAAAGTCCGTGATAGCATAATTGAACATATAGGAAAAACTGAGAGAGCTCTCGACTCCAATCCCATAAACAAGAGAATGCAACCCGAGATGCTAGCAATAGAACTAGAAAATTTCGCCAGAGAAAAAACATTTAAATTAACGCAGAAGTTTAAAAAGCTGGAGATTAAAATGAAGGCTGTGAAACTTAATGAGCATTTTTCATTGAAAATTATAGACCAAACGACTATACATTTGTATTTCCGAGATGGCACGACTAGTTTGAAGTTGAATTTGGGTATGGTGTTGATAAGCGACGAGATTGTTGACACGGATACTGCAGAGTTGACGGACGTGCAGACACCGTACGACAGATTCCCTGCTAAGAGTCCAAGTGTGGAAGATATACAACTGTTTTTGAAAACAGTCAATCTTCGTAATCGGGTGTTACACGCAACTCGAGCTTAACTACGTAACTCATTTATTTTTTATTTTTATTATAAGAAAAGAAGTTATGTTTAAGTTTTTTTATAAAGTAATAATAAGAAGAATGATAAGTTATATTTAATTTACTTTTTAAAATAAGAAGATAGGGTTACATTAAAGTAATTTTTTATGATAAAAAGAAAGGACTTGCCTAACTTTTTTACAATAAGAATATACAAATTTAATTTACTTTTTACAATAAGAAGAAAAGTTACGTGTTTTGTTTCTTTTTATAATGAGAAAATTGTTTTCCTTTTGCAATTAGAAAAAAATAGTTTTTTTTTCTATGAAGAAGAAAAGTTATGTTTAAGTTTATTTTTGTCATAAGCAAAACGTTTACGTCTTAGAGTATCGTATATGTTAAAAGATTCCATTTAAGTATTTTTTAATAAGATAAAGTTTATATGTATTTAAATTTCTTTTTGATAAGAAAAAAAGGTATTTAAGTTTTATTATACGAAAACATTTTTTGTTACTTATTTATTGTATTTTTATAGTGCGAGGCTGCAAACGAGCAGATGGCTCACCTGAGGGTAAGGAATGGACGCTATCTATGGGTACACTAGAAAAGGTACGAAGTATGTTGCCGGCTTTTGGGTGTTAAGAAATTAAGGATTGGAACAAAAGGAGGTCTTTGGGATTAGTGAGGAGGATTGGGCCTCCGGTAACTTTAGTTACACGCCGTAACAGAATGCAACCTTTGTAAACGCCGGTTGTCTGTGAGTTTGTGGTATCAGTCCGGTCGAGCTGGCCCATTCGTAAAGAAGAATGACTTGCTCACATTTTGACCGCCACATGTTATGTTAAAGTTTGGTTATAAAATAAGAAGAACTACTATGTTAATTTTCTTTTTATACATAATAAGTAAGTAAGGCTTGTGTGAATAGGTTGCTTATGGGTTGACGTGCTTCACCGTAGACCGCATCATCGCTTACCACCAGGCGAGATAGTGGTCAAACGTCAGCCCATCAAATATAAAAATTTAAGTAACATTTATGTTTTAAGTTTTTATTTTATAATAAGAAAAAACGTTAAGTTTAATAATTACTTAAGTTATTAGTTACGTTATTATTATTGGGAAGTTTGATTTGTTTTATATCACCTATCCATTTCCTACCCAACTGTGTCAAATATTATAAGTAGGTTCCGATTTGTGTCTGCAAAAAAATATTAATTATAGTTAATTATACATAATTGAATGTACAGCTAAATGCATTCAATGCTTTTTTTAAGGGGGGAAAATCATCGAATGACTGCTCCCGCCTGGGTGAGGCGGAAGGGAGCGCAGACTCTTACTGACTAAAAACCACCCCGTTCCTTCTCCTGCACGTCAAGCCGGAGCCCCGGTAACCCGTTAGGTTCTCCGCGACATGCATTTAATGCTAGAGCTGATGAAACCTTGTAAGGGTAAAAGAGATGACATAATAGGGTTTCATATTGCTATCTCTTTTTGGCGCTAGAACAATGACCACTGATGATTCCACCAGGGAATACCAATTAATTTGTGATTGACATGTGCAGGTATAGTGGAGCCTGCAAAGGGTTTGCTTTCATAATACTGGTCCGGAATGGGGGTTAATTCAGGCCAAAGTTCAGTTCCATGTCCCCTGATTACCATCAGTCTAGATTTGTCAGTACACGGCGCATTCGCTTAACATCCCCGGGACTATATTTGGGATTAATGAATATTTAGGTTATAACGTATTTGTTTATTAACACGTAGTTTGGACGTCAATGAAATTGTATAAGATCACTCTTTATGTCATGTAATGCACATTGATAAATAATAAATTATGTAATTTATTGTATCACGTAAAAAATCTATTGTTACATCATGTAATTAAAGGTTTAGGCTAGATATTGATTTATAATATCACATTGTTTTTTTTTTAATTTCTTGTTTCATCCCCTTTGAGTGTGAAGTATTTTTATATTTTATGAATTGCGTCAATCGAAGTCTTAAAGAAAACGTTGTACGCTGTAACAAACTTATTGCTTGTCGTGTTCAGTCTATCTATAATTATATAAAAAGCAAATAATAGGATTATTTACAGTAGACTTAACATGCAACAAATGCTTATAAGTATCAAAGAATATTAGCAAAGTAAAGGATTGTGCTGTACTGTAAATAAACTCAATTATTCTTTGAAATGCTGTTTCCTTTGCACTGGTTGTCACGAATAATAGAATTAAAAGGGTGTCTGGTTGGATGGGGTCGCAGTGTCCGTTGGTTGCATGGAAACCAGTCCTAATTGCAGGTGAGTCATAAAGCTGGGTACAGACCAGCGACACACAAAAATTAAAATTAATATGTTTCGCAGATTGTTTGTCAAACCTATTCTTTAATCAATACAATACATTTTTAATATTAAATTACCTATATCACTGTTTTCGTAAAATAGCTGATATAGGTAATTTTATATTAGCAATGTAACTGGTTCTAAATAGAACCATAGGGTAAATACCTATTACAAATAAAAGTGTCTTTTATATTTATAGTAAAGGATGTGATACCTACTAAACATAAAAATAGTTTATGTAGGCATCAAATTATATTTCTGCTTTAATTATTACTCGAGGCTAAGCATTTGGCTTCTATGTATTCTATGTAAGCTGTAACCACTTTCACATCTTTGCACTAAGTGTGATTCACTATAATTAATGATTTTTGTATAATCAATAAGTTTACCACATTTTGTTAAATGATAGGTGTACTTGTCTTTTGTTTTTAGAAATAAAATTTTTCTCATTCTTATTAATGGTTTTTATTGTAAAACGAACAAGGCAAGCATAATTTTTAATATTTACCTTTATATCAATCTGTACACAGCATTGAAACATGTGTACATTATGATCAATGTCTGCTTGTATTTTGGGGTAGCGATTTGGAATTCGGTGAGTGAACAGGATTCATAAGGAAACTAGCCTGCAAGTCAACCTACTCTAATCAGTATGATTTCATTCGATTTTTAACTTTACATCAAAAGAATCAAGTTGAAAATCAAATAAAAAAAAATACAGCAAGGTGTTGGTTAACCTGCTGGCCTTTGTACCATTCAGTACACACAGACAGCGACACATCAAGCCTAAACCAGTATAACCTGAACACCGAATGTGCAGAAAATTCACAAGGCGGGAGCACGATAAACTGGTTTTTTATACATCAATAAGCAATAGTGTGTAGAGTGAAAAATAAAACTTATGACTAGGACACCACGTCATCTGCACTTCGGTAAAAGGGGACTTGAATTAAAAGGATGTGTCTTAGGGAAAGGGGTCTGTAATAATATGAATTACTGGCGCATATGAGATAATTTTAACACGATTGACCGTTAAGTTTTATATTAATTTACGACTGCCTCGTTGACCGAGTGGTCGCAAGTGCGACTGCCGGGCAAGGGGTCTCGGGTTCGATTCCCGGGTCGGGCAAAGTATTACTGAGTTTAAAAAAAATCTCGGTACTTAGTAGCACGGAGTCGTGAATTGTGCTCGGTATATGGCAATAGGCTCACCCCCTATTACATGGGACTCATAACATAAATAGTGAAAAGTGGGTGTTACTTCTGTGTGCACCTCTGCCTACCCCTTCGGGGATAAAAGGTGTGATGTTATGTTATGTTATGTCTGAGGACATTGTATGAGTAGCTGGAGTCAAACGCTTACTGTGGTTGGTTTAAAGAGTAAGTAAAATTATTTTTACTATTTAAAAATCACCATTAGTTAGTTGTGGGTAACTGTTAGTTAGGGGGTAGTTTGTAGCTACTCTATGTCATATACTTATTACTTTTGAACATCATTTAATGAGACTATCACACAACACTATCAACCGGACTATCAACAGCTTATAAGTAGCCATTGCGCATTCACCATTTGTCAGTGGTGTCTAAATAATTTTAGAAAGTACATGTATGTATTTCCCAATAGTGTAGGTCGAATAGGGCAGATGACTAATTTTTATTTTAATGTCCGTCTGGTAGATTATTTTAAATGATTAGACACGTATTTTTTATTTTTTTACGGAAATGAATAGTTTCGAGGAAATTTGAAATGTCGCGTGACGTCACTTCTATGGAAATGACGTTTTAGCCCCAACTTCTAAACTGTGTTTACTGTAACTGTTGTTTTGTTATATCTAAGTATCATTTTATTATACAACAAAATAAAAAAAATATGTGTCTAATATTTTGTTTTATCTAAGTATCATTTTATTATACACAAAAAAAATAAAAAAAATGAAACAAGTGAATTTATTTCTGCAAATAGGCTACAAGGCAGCACTTTTACACGTCAATTTTATCAAGCGAACGATGAGGTCGACATTTCCTAACTGACTACTCTGAGAAGAAATGCCGAAACAAACTCAGAGGTCTGTCTCTTTTAAAGTCCAGACAATATGTATAATAGATTATGTGTGAGAACCGTGCAAGTTCTTTCTGTAGTGGCCTTTTGAGGAAAGAACCACAACAGTTTGAGCGGACCCGTTCTGAAGGCAGTACGCATGTGTCGGTTTACAGTCGGCTCAATTAACAGGTGAGGCTCACTGATTCGACGAACAATACCAACCTAAAGAACATTTGCGTGGGTCGCACAAATACTCAAACTGTCAGAATATGGGTAATTACAAAAGAAATGGTGAGACAAAGTCTCGCACGGTCCTAGCACTAACAATTGTAAAGGAAAAAGCAAATGTCAAGTTAGAACAATATATGAAAAACAATGTCAAGAAATGTAACTATATGTTACAAACATGTCAACATGACCTGTGTGGACGTTACAGCAGCTTATTCCCAAGCCAGACTATCATCTAGGTAGTCTTTAATTTTATAAAAAGCTTTACTATAAAATTTATCTTTAATGACATTTTTAAATTTATTTAGACTCAAATTTTGGATATGGTACCCCGTACCCCATCATCATCCCTATTATATTAGATATATCTCTGTTAGCAATAAAAGTACATTTCGTATTCTGTCTCCAAACAT